ACTTCATTCTTATCTGATAATCACATAGATGTGTATGTATATAGATCAATTTGTTTCTGGATATACATTGTCATAAAGATCGGAAGAAATTTTTAAGTAAAATTATTTTGGGAGAATTTCTTTCTACAATATTATCAATCTACTAATGAGTCTCCATAATTAAGTGGTATTGTAGATTATATTGTACTGGTAATTAAATATACTAAAACAATTTAGAATAGGAGGTGTGCAACAAAAAAGAAGAAAACTTACATGGAAAGCATACTTCTTTTCCCCCCACTTGGAACAGAAAACTCAGATTTTTACTCTGACCTAATTTTACTATGGAAACTTATCTTTCAAACTTCATTTGAATTAATACACTTAACCAATTTAGTAGAATTTAAATTTGCATTTTTGTTGTCTTCTAATGGCTATTTTGCATATTAAAGGTAAAGCCTTCCTTAAAATATGCAGTACCCTCTTGATTATGCCAGCTCTCTGCTCATTCTGCTAAGGCTATAAATAAAGCTTCTATTTAAGGCTGGCATTATATCAACCCACCTGCTTTTAGAAGGGAGAAAAAAACAGAATCACTCAACCTGCGGATTGCTGTCAGCTTGTGACTATGTGAATGGTAAGTCTTAACTTTTAAAGTCTTAAGGGAGAAAGGATTTTTTTAAAAGCAATTTTCAGATAAACAATTGCCCACAAATTTCTGAGTACCAATGAAACAAGACATTCCTGAAGGTATCATTCATTGGTGAGATATGGTGTATCTGGGAGATGGCAGTGGTAAAATAAACTGGACAAAGGAAAGCCATTTCAATTGTGATTTCAGGAAAGGGAGAAGGAATGTGGAAGAATATGGACATGTTCTTCTCTGTGGGCTATCTTTAGGGAATTGGCAGTTTCTGATTTTGCACTCCTTTGTCTTTCCATATTCCAGGGCTGTAATTCATATGTAGTCCCAGAATATGGGGGTAAGGGAGAGAGAAGAGACTTTGCAATTGAAGGGAAATCTGGGTGCACAGATAATTTTCTCTTGCTCAGATTTCCATATTTTGGAAGAGAAATTCCATGAGCTCCAGATTTATTACAGAAAAATTAACATTTAAAAATTTGTTACTAAGTTATCTTTTCCCTGTAAATGTTTTATTCTAAGCAACCTGTTGAAGAGCTCACATCAGATGAGCAGTTTCCATTTTTTACCATTTTTTAACATTTTTGGCTGCGTGCAAGGCAAACGCCCTACCCGCTGTGCTAGCGCTCCAGCCCCTTGCACGCAGCCAACATGGCCGACCTGAGTTCGATTCCTCCGCCCCTCTCGGAGAGCCCGGCAAGCTACCGAGAGTATTAGATATGCCAGACACAGTAACAACAAAGTCTCCAATGGAGACGTTACTGGGCCCGCTCGAGCAAATCGATGATCAACGGGAGGGGCTTTACTTACTTACTTACTAACATTTTTAATTGAAAACTTGCAGTTACATTCACTGCTCCCTAGACAAATGAATAAGCTTTGAAAACTTGCCATTAATGGTTGATTGAAAATTCAGTCAAGGTAGTAAAATTTTGCAAGTCAGGATGTCCTTTTGTCCTAGTTTTCATTAGGCAATTCAGATAACTATCATCACAAGTCAGCTGTCATTTAGATCTTGAAAACTTGTGCTATAAAACTGTCCCTTCCATATGTTCATACTTTTGCTGGAGTGAGAATGAGAAAAGTCTCTTGGGGAATGTCTTTTAAAGATGTAAAGGGGAGTGGTTTTGAGTGTATGTGAATGTATGCCAAAGAAAGTCCCCTCTGTTGCCTAACTGAATCATATAGTTCTAAAATTAACATGTGAATACAGGTTACTTCACTACAGGTTTTCCACACAGAACAAACAGAATAACTCCAAAACTCCTCAGTCTGAAATTAATGTGGATTTCATTTGAAATGCGTTTATAAAACCAATAGTCAAAAGTCATTGAACTAAACAGGCACATGATGTACTATGATTCTAGGACCCAAGTTTCAGTGATAAAGATGTTACATCTTTTAGAAACTAAGTACAACTAAGAATGAATGGCTTTGGCCAAAAGGCTTTATTACTAGGTTTATGTGCCACAAAATCCATTTGGAATTGTTTATGTATGCTATATAAAGGTGTCAGGACATAGGGAATAGGAATTAAAAAGGATGCTCATGATGATTAAAGAAGAGCATAATTTCTCATTTTTCCTCAGAATGACTGTAAAACTCAGTAATAAAAAGATGTGATTAAAATGAATCCAAGGTCTTCTTCCAACCATCCTTTAAACTTTTGATATGTATTTTTGTTGTATACCAGCTCTCTAAACTGAAAATGTTTATACTTCCCTAGAAAATGGCAAGAAATATTCAGTGTTGTTGGATAGCTTCTACACACAATCCCTGAAGTGAAACAGATGTCTCAACATAGAGATGAAGGGAGACACTAGAAGGGTAAATTAATCTACATGGGACCCTGTTTAGTCATTATACTTCAAGATCACATACTTATTTTTGTATCTTCTAATACATAAATATATTTGTTCCTACTCGAGTTATAGAAAAAAATATCAGACTTCCTTGAAGGTGGGAATATTCTTTCTTTTATTTTTAAAGTAATGAGTGTAACTTCTAGGCCCTGAAAACTGGGTAAAATATAATATTTGACAGAAAATAAACTATCCAACTTAAGAACTGTAGGGCAAATCCTGAATGCCTCTATATTTCTAGAGTTGTTGGTAATCAGAAAAATTTCTGGAGAATAACCAAAATTGAATTTCTGACAAAAGTCCTTGGAAATTTTCAGGTACATGTTCAATTTTTGAGACTACTAATAAAACTCTTAATTATAAACTCAATGCAAACCAAGATTTACGAAGTGAGTAGTAAAAGAATTTGGAAAAGTTGAAATCCTTGCCAGTAACATATTAGGCTATATCTTATGATGAGTTATACTCTAACAATATACAATTCAGGTATTTACAGAAATGGATGAACTGAGATCATTAGCATTCTAGTCAACTGAAATCTTTGCAAGATTTAGTGCATTGAAAGAATAAATGTTTATCTAAAAAGTCTTAATATACACATTCAGTGACCTGATCAACACACAATTCTTGACCAAAAAATTGTATTTTCTTTTAGGATAATTTGAGAAAAATCATTTTGGAAAAAGATGACTCAGAGATGACTAGTAAGGGTAGATTTGGCCTATGTGCTGGTATAAGTTGTTATTCTCTACCATTATCTAGCTTGATCTAATCAAGAGTTAAACTGAAACCATAAATTAAAAATTCCATTATGAAAAATGAAAGTATAGTTCCAGAGATATAGTGAAACACAGGATCTGTACTGATAGTGAAAATATAAAAAAAAATAATGGCCATTCAATTACCAATAAGTCCATTACTCCGCTATTTTCCATAAAAAGGTGAAAATTCTCCCAAAATACTTGATCACTATATTTTAAATGTATTCATTTAAAATGGTGGGTAAATATCTTGTAACCTATAGGATTCCAAGTGAAATAGTAGCTTTACTATTTCTTATTAGGTACATTGAGTTTAGTATGTTTCAGAAGAATCATGAATCTCTTCTCAAAACACTGAGTCTTAGAAGAGTGCTATTTTATATTATTTTGACTAAATTGGTCTATGGAACACTGGTTTTTAAAGCTATAAGCAGTAACATTATGAAAAGACATGCTACATGCTCAAATAAGAGAAACAAGCAAAAATGTAAGAGAAACACCAAGGTAAACATTAAAAAGGGGTTTTGCTTACAGGAATTTTCTGATTTATTAGGCTCAGATAGATTGTGAACTTCAAGACCTGGTTATGAAAAGCAGCATTTTGTTTAACTTTCTACTTTATGGGACTCCATTCCTATTTGAGATGAGTGCTTAAATAGCTATTGCTTTGTGAACCAGGATATGGCAACCCCTTAAGTATTATCTGTTAATGGAATAAAAACTGAAATTCATAAGTAAAACTTTTCATGGATGGGACAACTTTAATTTCATATAATTGATTTGTTTTTGGTCAATTTTTATTTTGAAAGAAATTAGTAGTTGGAAACACAAAGCCCTTTAATTATTGCTCTATTTTTCCCTTCTTATTTGTGTTAGATAATCCTACCTGTTTATGATGACGCAAAATTAAGACTATCTACTGTAAACTTTCTGGAGACTCCTTTTTAACTTTCTTCTTCTTTAAATTAGAAGGACCTGGTGTTATTTTTGAAATTTTAAAGACTCCATTGCTTTTGTGCACAAATTGGAATTGTGATAGAATGTATATAAAGCAGGTCTTGATTTGTATTGTTAGATATAAATAAGGTGAAGGCTATACATAAGAAATTAATTTCTAAAACATCTATGAAATCACAGGGAGAGTCAAATAGACAGCTCTACAACCTTTAAATTTCATTTTCAATTCCCTATTAATGGGTTATTATTATGCTGCTAGTTAATTTTAAGAAAAATTCTGGACCACCCATTTTTTTATTGGGGTAAATTAAATTTTATTGAAGTTCTTAAAATTTTCAAAGAGTAAATGAAATGTCAGCTTTATGCATATCTTGTCAAAAAACAAATGCTTGAATCCTTCTGTTCCAGCATTCATGTCCTCCAAACGAGAGGGCTTATTTCAGATATCACTTGAAATGTGGAAATTACTGAAACTTCTGTTTGTATGCTGATTAAATATATCACAGTAAGACTGAATATGGGTGTAGAGTAAATATGCTCTATAGTCAATCAATGCTTTATATGCTTCGAAAACAATTCCTTTAACATTTACTTAAGTGAAATTATTTCATTTGAACAGCTCAGTGGTAGGAAGAGCATGATGCCACTTTTTAAAACTATAATTATTTTTTGGCTCACACCTAGCTGTGCTCAAGTTTTTCTCTTGGCTCTGTGCTTAGGGGACCTTACGTGATGGTGGATAGTGAACCCTGTAGGCCATATGCGAGGCAACTGCCCTAAGGGCTGCACACTCTCTTTGGCCCATAAAATCTTTTGAATAACAATAATTAGTATAAGTTGAATTGGGAAAATATTCTAGGTTCAGAAGGATAAAATGTCCGCACAATTTGCAAATTATAGGGGATAATCTTTTTCCTTGCTGGAGAGAAAAAAATCTCAGCCTTTTCCACTTTGTTTCTCTTCAGCTCTTTAAAAGCAAGACAGATGCAGGTTGTCTAAACAAGATAAATGAACAAAAACAGCCAATGTTTATTTGGTAAGGAAATCGGGAGAAACTCTAAAGCTGCCCCTTCAGGCTGATACTGTGTGTACAGTACTGAACAGACAACATCAGAGTGGCAGTAGCTGGATCTTTCCTTTGGCAACAATTCAGCCATCAAGTTTTATCAAATTTTAAACAGGTCCTTAGTTACATTAACATCATGTTGTGCATGGGTCACCCTGGTTTGTGTTGGCATCTAAGAAGAATTTTTTTTTTATCCAGAAAATGTTCAAATATCTGGCTTCTTGATCTTGACTACAAGGTGAATATTATCCTATCTGAATTTATAACAAGTATAGCTTCTTCCATTTTCTATGAAACCATTATTCACAACTGGTGAAAGGAAAATCAAGCTCTTGACAAATGAACCGTTTTCATTATTTAACACCTACCTTGCATTTTTCAGGTACTACCAGTGCACACCACCTTTTGGAGAAACCAAGGGCTTTGTTACAGTAAACTGGTCCAATGTGATATCACAAGTATAAAAAATATTCCATTCTGTATCAAAACTAGGCACATGCCTTTATTTATAGTAACAGAAGTTAACAGAGTAGAGCAGTTTTGCCTTGGGTCCTTTTTCTTGACATCCTACATCAGACAATTGCATCTTTCAACATGTCTCTGCCCAAAACTCCAGGGATCTAGACTCAAGGGTATCGTACGTAAAGGAAAGTGAAATCACACTTGGATCTATATTGGTGAGTAACTAAAAGCACAACCTCTCATTCATATTGCTTTAAAACATATACAGCATATATGTTTTAAAAAAAGGAAAGAATATATTTTTTTTGGTGTGTGATACTGAATCAACATAGTATGATGCAAGGCTTTTAACAAATGATAATCATAGATACAAATTTTTCTGAAGAGTATGTTTTAGACAAATGTGTCTTTTTAAACATGTAAATCCTACATTGTAGGTTGTTCTTTTTATATTTTCTTTTGTTTTTGCAGTGGTAGAAAATGTTGAGTAATTGTTCATGAGTATGAGCCAAAGGTTCAGGTTCATTACTGAGATCCCCAGAATGCCAATATTTGCAATGCAAACAATTAGTATCCCACTGTGTGGAGCACTCTGACACATGTCTGCTTGCCTCTAGGTGAAGAGTCTCCATAAGAATTCCTCCTGCTTCCAAGGACCCTGCTTTGACATAAGGGCAGCTTCTCCAAGCTGCCTTTTCATTGTAATTTACTGTGCCAGACTGTCTTACTGGTTACCAACAGTGACACAGAAACCATCATCTAAGATGGTTAGATCATTTTCTGATTGATCTGAGGTTAGATCAACCCTCAGATCATTTTCATGTTGAATCTCCTGGGTCCAGCCACCTCCCCTTCCACAACAGCACCGTTGTTTTTTCGGGGCACGTACTCAAGGTCAATGCTGTTTTTGTGCTTGCCTTTTCCTCGGCTCCACACAAAAAGGAGGAGAAAACAAAATAAAACCACTCCCAGGAATGTGAAACAGCCCATGGCTGTAGACACCAGTATTGTTTTAAGGTCCAGGGAAAAGGTATTGGCATTCGTGCCATTGGAAGTGGTGTCATTGGAGTCGGTCATGTACATAGGGGTCCTGTTGGCGTAAAGGAAGCGGTCTGAAGTGAATCCTTTCACAGTTAAGGAGGCCGTGTAGGTGTCGTTTCCAGCAGCGTTGCTCGCGATGCAAATATACATCCCACTGTCTTGGTCTTGAACAAAGCGGATTTCCAAGGTGCCATCGCCCAGCACCGTAGCTCTTCCGTTGGACTTGGTGGTGATAAAACGCCTCCGAGGTGTCACCCAGGAAATCACAGGTTGGGGATCTCCGTCAGCATTGCATTCCAGCTGGACTGTTTGACCTTCATCCACTAGCAGATGCTGCAGTTTCTTTTCACGGATCTTGGGCTTTTTGCAGGTAAAGTAAAAAGAGAGGGCGGTGCTATGGAAATCCTTGAACGATCTTTCACGGATGGTGTCTGGGCCGGCACACATGGGTTGTTGGCCCCCGAACTGCAGAGTGGGGTGCCGCTGCAGGATCCAGAGGAGACGGCAGTCACAGGCCAGAGGGTTGTTATTGATGCTCAGGACCTCCAAAGCCCTAGGGGAGGAGAAGACGTTCTCTTCCAAAGTTTCCAGTAGGTTCTGAGACACATTGAGCACTCGAAGGAAACGGAGCCCTTGGAAGGAGTGAGGCTCAATGGTACGGAGCTGGGCCCCCACGATATGAAGCTCCTGAAGGCGGATCAGGTCAGAGAACATGCCTGCTTCGATAGTACTGATGGGGTTGTAGGAGAGGTTAAGGTGGGTTAGATACACCAGGTGTTTAAAGGCAAGGAAGGGTACGGTGGACAGGTTGGTATTGGTGATTGAGAGAGATGTTAGGTTGAGACCGTAAAGGCTATTGGCAGGCATCATATCTAGTAAAGGCCAATAGTCAATCTCTAGGTGTTTCAGGTGGAACAATCTCTTAAAGGCATACACGGGCATATTGTTGATGTTGAGATGCTTCAGATGCAGGCTGATGAGGCTGCGGAGGTGAGAGAGCGCTTCTGTTGGTACTGCTGTTAGGTTGCATTTCTCCAGAGTGAGCTGCTCCAAGCTTAGCAGCCCACTGAAGGCCCTGTGTGATATATAAACCAAATCATTGTCCCCCACTTCTAGAGACTTTAGGTTATGCAGATCCTGGAACATGTAGTCCAGCAATATGACAATCTTATTCTCACTAATATCAAGCTTTGTGAGGTTGGATAGCCCCGTGAATACCCCCAAGGGGACCAACTTCAGGCGATTGCCCTTTAGTCGTAGGGACCGAAGATTAAAGAGATTGTTAAATGCTCCTGGTTCCACATTGGCGATGATGTTGTCACTCAGGTCTATCTCCTCGAGTAGAGGATAGGATATGAATTCTTCAGGGTTCACACTCTTCAGTCTGTTTTTGCTGAGGTCCAATATTTTGGTCTCTATAGGAATGCCCTCTGGGATAGCAATCAACCGCCTTCTATGGCAGCTAACGGATTTGTTCTGGGCAGAACATTCACAGCGAGCAGGGCAGCCAATGGTGGATCCCATGAAGACTAACACCACAGCCAGACCCAGGTATGGCTGCCAACATGATATGGCCGTGTGAAGCATGACTCCACCTCTTAGTCTATATCTAGGTCAGGAGCCTGCAGAAGAAGGGGCAAAAGGAGGAAGAAGAGATGTTTAGTTAGGATATTTTGGTAAAGGGAATAAATAGTACAAGGAGTACATTGAAGAGACACTGGATTTTCAATTATACTGATGCACACATAAACCTGTGAGCTGCATTATTAGCTTATATGATCTTGATAAGTAATTTTACCTTCCTTCACTTCAGTTTTCTTGGCTATAAAGTGGGGTATTTTGACAATTACAAAGAGACTAATGCAATATCTTGGAATAGCCTATCAGGTCAAACAACATATACTCCACACAGTACTTTATTTTGAACCCAGATGACAGTAACAAAGGTCAGTAGCTAAGAAGAAAACTATCAAGTTTGAATCAGTGTCTGTATCATTAATATTTGGAAAATCCTCTGTCTAAAATGGAGCTCAATCATGTTTCATTCAACATCAGGTACTTAGGTTAACATTATATATATATATATATATATATATATATATATATATATTCAACGCAAAGTATTGGAATGTTTTTTCCATGTATTTTTTTAATTGAAATTTTAATTTTAAGGTATGTCTCTTTAGAGTTCAGTACATCTTGATAAACAGGTTTTATTCATGGTAAGTTACATTATATACCACATTCCTTTTTATTATAGAAATGAGCAAAATAAAGACATATAAGAGTTGTGATGATGTTTTACATATAGAAAAAAACTATACTACTATATCCCCATTCCTCTAAATCTATTAATTCTGTGAAGATTATTTTAAGATCAACTTAAAACAGACATGTTTAGTTATGGTGGTCTGTAAAGGTCATTCTTAAACATTCTTTCCATCATTGAGAGCTATGAGTTAAAATCTTATTAGCAACGTGGAGTTTTAAAATTAGCATCAGTACCACTTCTTTTTAATTTATTTTATCTTTTGGTTTTGGTGGCCATATTTTGGTTTCAGTTATCTGTATAACTCCATTGGAAAAAATCTATCTAAATTCTTTGCTGATTTTAGGTTAGATTTATTTCACTATCAACATATTTATATATATCTTTGCTCCTCTAGGGATTACAATCTCCATTTTATAGATCCCAGTTGATTAGATTGATAATATTGATAGTACTTACGTGCAGCAAGTTATCAATTGCTTTTTAGCAATACATTCTGATTTAACACTTTGCTTCTACTCCTACCCTCAACCATCCATATTAGAGGTTTTAGGGAAGGCATGGAAACAATGGAGGACACAGTGATTTAGGTATAAAGTAGTTTAGGATGGTTGAATCAAAGCCAGGAGGGAAACAGAGAAAAGATTTTGAAGAGGTAATTAGGGGAGCGATTTTCAAGAGGCTTGTAAACTGTGATAAGCTGTTTGTACTTTATCCGGAGGGCAATGGCACACTATTAAACTGTTTTATGCAAAAGAGTGATATGATCAGATTTATATTTTGGGAAGATTAATCTGTCTGCAGCACAAAATATAGAATTGCAGGAGAGAGATGGATGTTACTGCATTAACTCAAACCTAGAGTAAAACTGATCTCAGTCAGGGACATGGTTAAACAGATAGCCAATCTGCCTCATAATACCTCTTAAACCTATCAATTATAGATTGGTTATGAGGAGAGGAAGAAGCAAAGATGATTTTTAACCTTTTATCCATTGGGTACATTCTGACACCATTCAGTCATATGACAAATTTAAAAGCACTAACAGGATGAGCAATTCCTAGTTCTCTTAACTGTCTGTAACAGGGCTAAGATGTCTGATTTTCTTGAGCAAATTAATGATTTTCCATTCCTTGAAAATATTTTTCAAATGCTTTTTTGTATTTCTGTAGGATAGGAATTATTATTCATGACTATGTTTAAAGGAGACCCATTGTATTTACTGTTTTTGGCAGTGTGGAAAGGTCAGACTGCAGCTGAAACTCATGAAGACAATGTTTATGAGAAACTGACTTATTCCTGACGTTTCTTTTGCTCTCAACAGAATGAATATCTCCGAATGCAGCAGTTATGTGTACCTAAGTCGAGAACTCAACATGACGAATGACCTGGAACATGAGTTGTGCAGGAGGAAGAGAGTGTCTTGGAACGCCTTCAAGAGGGTCAAAAAAATAGCTAAGAGGACGAAGAACACATCTGGGCACATCTCTTCAACTCCACCATTCTCCCTGCACTAACATATGCCTCAGAGACTTGGGCCCTATGAAAACAGGATAAGACTGCTATTTGGGTCTCCCAAAGAGGAATCAAAAGAGCTATGCTTGGAGTTTCACGCTTCACTCAAGTGACATAAGGAATCAGGGGTTCCAACCTCTGTCAACAATCGAGAATCAGGGATGCTGTCTCATTTGGCAAGGCGTCGGAAATCAGATGGGCTGGACACGTAATGTGATTTGGAGACAACTGCTGGATTAGAGCGGTTACTGACTGGATTCCACAGGACGTCAAAAGATTGTGTGACCACCCACCTAACGAGATGGTCAGATGGTTTGAGGCTCTTCATGTTCCTGGAGCTAGCAGATGCCATTGGGCTACAGTAGCATGCAACAGGGACGAATGGAGGGAGACATTACTGGTGCCTGTTTGAGCAAATCAATGAGTAACGGGATGTCAAGTGATCAAGTGATTTTTTAAATTAGTTTTTGAGATACCTTTGGCTGTACTCAGGGATTAGTCCTACTATTTGCTAAGGGATCACTCCAGGTGGTTCTCAGAGAACCATATATTGGGTTCCAAGAATCAAACTGGAGTCAAACATTTCTAAGGTTGATGCCCCATCCTCTGGGCTATCTCTCTGGCCTCACACTTTTAATTTGGAATTGATGGTAAAAAAATAAAAACGTTATCTTTATACATATCACTGGAGAGAACTGCATTTTAGGACAAAGTTTATCTCATCAACATATTTTTCATTAGATAAGAAGATGACTGGCATCCAATTTCTGACTGATTTCAAGAATAGTTTAGGGAAAGATTATTAATCTTGTTTTAAATGTATATTACATGAAATTGACAATATCTAATTCGGTGATGACTGCAATTTATAAAGACAAAGAAGTCAACTAAGATTGTACCTAGGGGTAGGTAGTACCTAACAATTTTTTTTCTTAAAAATTGGTTAGTTTGGTTCCAATCAAAGTAAAGAAGCTTTACAAAGGATGGATGACTGCTTAGCAAGAAGCAGCTGGCAAGATGACTTCAAATCTGGAACGCCTCTCCCATTCTACCGCTGCCTTTCCAACCAGTCATTTGGGCTACATCTCATCAAAGTTCATTGATGTGGTTTAGAAACTGTGTAGGAACACTGTTTTATTATTCTCATCACAGATATTTCTCAGTTTTCGTTTAGAAGGACAAATTGCTGACTCCATTTAGCTCTCACTGTCAGCAGAAGTCTTATAATCAAAGTGTTCTTATAATATCCGACTGTGACCAAGGTTTGACAAGATGAACTCCATTAAGAATAAAGCAGAAAAGTAAAATCTGTAGGGAGCTGACTTGGACCTTTCCATTAGTTCTGATCAAAGAGACGCTCAGTCATAATGATTAGTACCCTTTTAAATAGAGCATATGAAATTGGGTATTTTCATACTTTTGTATACTGGGTATTTATTTTACAGCTCATTTTATTGTTGTTGTTACTGTTTCTGGCATATTGAATACTCTCGGTAGCTTGCCGGGCTCTCCGAGAGGGGCGGAGGAATCGAACTCGGGTCGGCCATGTTGGCTGCTTGTAAGGCGAACGCCCTACCTGCTGTGCTATCGCTCCAGCCCTCATTTTGTTACTGAAAGAAAAACCCCGAGAAACAACAGGGAGTGGACTTAAGGAAAAAATGTGGAAAAATAGAAACAGCAAAAAGGCTAGACAGAGTTACCTGGGTTAAAGTTTGAGTTTGATATAGACATTTCTTTAAAAATAAAAATACCCTAACATCCCTAAGCAATACCACTTCAAGGCATTTATTCCCAAACAAGGAAATACATTCAAAAAGATATTTACATCCCTAAAATCACAAAATTATTATTCACAATAGCCAAAACATCATATCCACTTCCATGCCCATTAATAAATGACTGGATAAAGAAGCTATGGTATTTCTACTTAGAGGAATACTACTCTGCTTTTAAAAGATAAAATTGTGCCTTTTAGGATGAAATGGATATTATGCTATGTTAAATAAGGAAAAGAAAATCATTTGTCAGATGTTCTCATAAAGCTGTGGAAGATAAATAAGAAAATTAGCTGGATAAAGACAACAAAACTAACTCCAATATTCACGAAAAATTATGATGTTACCCTGAGGCATTTGCTAGTATTACATGTGTAGATGGTATTTATCTTAACCCTTGAAATTCTATAGTATTAAACACATAAAGTAAAAGACCTGGGCTGGAGCAATAGCACAGCGGTAGGGCGTTTGCCTTGCACGCAGCCAATATGGCCGACCCGAGTTCGATTCCTCCGCCCCTCTCGGAGAGCCCGGCAAGCTACTGAGAGTATTTCGCCCGCACGGCAGATCCTGGCAAGCTACCCGTGACGTATTCAATATGCCAAACACAGTAACAACAAAGTCTCCAATGGAGACGTTACTGGGCCCGCTCGAGAAAATTAAACACATAAATTTTTAAAATTTCTGTATCTGATGTTTGTGATTTGTTAGCTGTGATACAGGTATTGCTGATAATGTCTGTGAGCCTCGTTATCTCTTATATTAATTTATGATAACAAAGCAGAATAGATACAAGGATGGCCTATGTAAGATGTTCGGCACAAACATGCTAGCTGTCATAATATTTTATGGGGTAATGGTTTAATTTATTGAGATAGTATCTGTCAGGAAAGAGAGGGTGCCTAATAAAAAAACATGGATTTCCGCTAAGGATGATGTGGAGGATTCTGGAGAAGATCCTCAAAATGATGATATAACAATAAGGAGAAATAGAGGGATTTGTAGAATGGAGATTTTTTAACTAGATATAAAGAGCACAAAAATAAAAAAATTATGACTATAG